GTTTGTTTAGCGTGAAAGATCAAAGCCAAAATAGGGTTGCAAATAATTTTATTGATGTAAAATCAACATCAATCATTTTATATCAAAATATTTATAACCCCATTTTGTTTCTGATCTTTTACACATCATAATAAGAAAAAAAATTGAATCTATAGTTTCTTTAGCTTTGGGTTTATCTAATAAGTGAAATTTTTCCAATCATTTTCTAAAAATTTTGGATTATAAGCATTTATTACTACACCACAATCAAATTTGATATTGTTTTGCGGGCTGTTTTGTCGTAATTCATAAAATTGCATAGTTTCTTGCTAAAGGAAAACAATGTTGATCCAATATTTAGATTATCCATTTCCAAACATTTTATATTTTTTGGGTTCTCTTTAGTTAAAGAATTAGAAGGCATTCATGGAATGTCTGTTTGTCCTCTTATTAAGTTTCCAATACCTTGAATGACCAATGTGTGCAACTTTCATTCATCATTTTATTTAATGTTTAATTGGTGATACTAGCAAAAACTTTAACGACAAAAATGTATTTTTTACAAATAGAAAATACGTTTGGAAAAGTATTGTAAATAAAATACAAGATGCTTTTCTCAAAAAAGTATCTAAATGTGAGTTAAAAGCAGGTATTTTTTATTTTGTATTTGCACTTTAAATGCAAGTACTTATTTCAAATAAATCACATCTCTGGTAATTACCTACCAAGACAATCTTATAACTACAATAAGAAAATTATTCGTTTAAGTGCTTTTTTATTGTCTTAGTAAATAATCAAACTTTTATTTTCAAAAGAAATTAAATTGCCTATAAAAGCTAACTCTTCACCTATTAACGCCGAGTTTAATGGTGGTAAGAGTTAGTTACACACGAAACATAAAATTGCCCTTTTAATTTATTGTTTGCTTGTCTTAACTAAACACTCATTGTCACTAATTTTAACTGAAAAAGTATCTATTGCTAAATATTTGAAACTTTGTTATCGTCCATTTAAAATGTATATATTTAATGTAAATTGTAACAACTAAT